GAGGTATATTTCGACAGTTTCCAGCAAGTTTCTTACTCTTTTCAAGCCAAATTTTGAAAAAGATGACTTTCGGGTGTGATGTTTTTGGCTCCAAAAATTACAGGGATTGGAAGTTCAAGCCTTACAATCACTTCAGAACCATTAATTGGAAGTTCAAACTATTTAGCTTGGGCTTCTTCACTTGAGTTGTGGTGCAAGGGTGTTCAAGATCACTTCACAAACAATGCTTGTGTTGTAGATGAAAAGAGTCTAGTGACGAAGGTGCAAGAGCCAAAGCACAATGGGAGAATGTGGATGCCCAATTATGTAGTCTTTTTTAGCTCTCTATTGATTCTAAGTTGATGCCCTTGGTTCGCCCATTTCAGACATGTTATTTAGTTTGGGAAAAGGCACATGCTTTATACAGTAATGACATATCTCGATTCTATGATGTGATATCTCGGATGACCAACTTAAAGAAACAAGAATCCGATATCTCTACTTACTTGGGACAAGTACTGGCAGTCATAGAGGAATTTGAGACGTTGATGACATCACTACAAACGTGGAAAGCAACAAAAGCAAAGGCAGACATTGTTTCTAGTTCTTACACTTGTTGGACTTTCTATTGACCATAATTATGTGCTGACCAGATTCTAGTAAGTCCTACAGTTCCCTCATTTGATGAATTATTCTCTCGTCTGATTCGTCTTGCTGCACCTCCCACTCAAAGAAGTTTCATCACCCATTGTTGACTCCTCTATTCTAGCATCTCAAACCACAAAAAAGCATACATAATAGCCTGTGGAGAATCGGCGAGGGGGAGGGCCTTTTGGGAAACTTCGATCCAAGTGTAGTCATTGTCATAAACCTAGACACACTCGTGATATATATTATACTTTTCATGGTCCACCACCCAGTTATGATCCTATAGTTCATAAGGAATATAATGAGTTCCTTTGAAATCTCGCAAGTAAACAAACATCTCCACCAGTAGCATATAGTGCTCGACCAAATCAACCATCCAATAATGCTCATATTGCTCAGACAAAATATAATGAGTTCATTCAGTATCGTGCAAATAAACAAATGTCTCCACAAGTAGTTTCAGTTGCATAACATGATGTTTCCGTTGCGGGTAATTCCTTTGTTTATGTGTCAGAGTCTAGTACTCTTGGATCATGGATCATGGACTCAGGGGCATCTGATCATATCTCTGGTAATAAATCACTTTTGACCGATATTGTTTATTCACTATCTCTTCCAACTATTACTTTAGCCAATGGGATCCAAACAAAACCAAAGGGGTTGGAAAAGCCAAACACCTATCTTCTGTCAACCTAGACTCTGTTCTTTATGTCTCTGGTTCTCCTTTCAATCTAGCATATGTTAGTTGTTTGATGAAGGCTCTATATTGTAGCATAACTTTTCTTGATAACTTTTTTCTCATGCAGGACGGCAGTACGGGATAGACAATTGGATCAAGACATGAATCACAAGGCCTTTACTACCTTGCCTCTTCAAATTCATTGAAAGCATGCTCCGTTACAGATTCCCCAAATCTAATTCACAAACGTTTGGGACATCCGAGTCTATTCAAACTGCATAAGATGGTGCCTAGTTTGTCTAGTTTATCCATATTAGATTGTGAGTCGTATTAACTTGGGAAACACACTCGTGCTACATTTTCACATACTACTGAGGGTCGTTCAGAGTCTATTTTTTCATTAGTTCAGTCTGATATTTGGGGTCCTAGTAGAGTCAATTCCACCTTAGGATTTTCTTATTTTGTTAGTTTCATTGATAATTATTTAAGATGTACTTGAGTTTGGGTTTTCTTAATGAAAGATCGTTCTTTGTTATTTTCTATATTCAAAAGTTTCTTTGCTGAAATACAAAATCAATTTGGTGTGTCTATTCGTACTTTTTGTAGTGGTGATGCCTTAGAATATTTATCCTCCCAATTTTAGAAGTTTATGACTCATCAAGGCATATTCACCAGACTACTTGTCCATACACCTCTCAACAGAACGGTGTAGCAGAATGGAAAAATAGGCATCTTATTGAGACTACTCGCTAGTCTTCTTCTTGAATCCCATGCTCCACTGCGTTTATGGGGAGATGTAGTTCTTACGTCTTGTTATTTAATAAATAGAATGCCCTCATCTTCTATTCAGAATCAGGTTCCACATTTCATATTGTTTCCTGAGTCATATCTCTATCGTATCCCCCCTCGTGTATTTGGGAGCACGTGCTTTGTTCATAACTTAGCCCAGGGAAAGATAAATTAGCCCCTCGTGCCCTCAAATGTCTTTCTTGGTTACTTTTGAATTCAAAAGGGGTATCGTTGTTAGTCACATGATCTTCATCGTTACCTTTATGTCCTCTGAAGTTACATTCTTTGAGTCTCACCTTACTATACATCTTCTGATCATCCTGATGCATCTATGGTCTTACCCATACCTTAGGCTTTACATGTACCAACTTTTGAGGAATCTACGGTTACTTCTCCATCTCCAGTTGTAGTGCCACCACTCCTAACTTTCATCGTCGTCCGCGTCCAGCGCTAGTCCTAGATGGTTCATGACATGCGCCAGACCCTGCTCGTACTGTGGAATTGCCTCCTCCTAGCTAACCGCTTGCACTTCAAAAAAGTATACGATCCAATCGAAATACTAACCCTCATTATACCTTCTTGATTTATCATCGTCTATCATCACCCCAATATGCCTTTGCATAGTCTTTGTCCTCTATTTCCATTCCTAAGACTACAAGTGAAGCACTTCGTCATTCTGGATGGAGGCAGGTTATGATTGATGAGATGTCTGCTTTTCATAAGAGTGGTACTTGGGAGCTTGTCTCTTTTCCTGCAGGTAAATCTATTGTTGGTTGTTGTTGAGTTTATGCGGTCAAAATTGGTCCAGATGGTCAGGTTGATCGGCTTAAGGCTCGCCTTGTTGCCAAAGGGTATACTTAGATATTTGGGCTAGATTATAGTGACACTTTCGCCCCTATGGCTAAAATAGCATGTGTCTGTCTTTTTCTATCTAAGGTTGTCGTTCGTCATTGGTCTCTTCATCAGTTAGACATTAAGAATGGTTTTTTGCATGGTGATCTTGAGGAGGAAGTCTATATGGAGCAACCATCTGGTTTTATTGCTCATGCGAAGTCTAGTAGCCTTGTTGTATGTCGATTGTGTAAGGTCACTCTATGGTCTGAAGCAGTCTCCTAGAGCTTGGTTTGGAAAGTTTAGCACAATTATTCAATAGTTTGGCATGACTCGTGGTGAAAATGATCACTTTATATTTTATCCACATTCTGCACCAAATCTCTGTATATATTTGGTTGTGTACGTTAATGATATTGTTATCACTCGTAATGGTCAAGATGGTATTGAGGTTGCTAAGTCTAGATCAGGTATTGTTATTTCTCAATGCAAGTATGTCTTAGACATTCTTGAGGAGAAGGGAATGATGGGATGTATACCTATTGACACTCCTATGGATCCGAATGTCAAACTCCTGCTAGGAAAGGGGGAGCCACTTAGTATCCAAAGGTATAGACAGCTCGTTGGAAAATTAAATTATCTCAGAGTAACTAGACCTAACATCTCTTTTCATGTGAGTGTTGTAAGTCAGTTTATGACTTCCCCTTGTATATGTCATCGGGAAGCAATTGTTCGTATCCTACAATATATGAAGTCAACTCCTGGTAAAGAACTACTCTATGAGGATCAAGGTCATGAGCATATCACTAGATATACAGACGTTGATTGGGCACCATCACCTCTGATAGATGTTCGACATCCGGATATTGTGTTTTAGTAGGAGGTAATTTTGTGTCGTGGAAGAGTAAGAAACGAAGTATGGTTGCTCGATCTAGTGCATAATCAAAATATCGAGCAATGGCGGCAGCAACTTGTGAGCTAGTTTGGATCAAACAGTTGCTGGGAGAACTAAAATTTGGCAAAATTGATCATATGGAATATGTGTGTGACAATCAAGCAACTCTTTATAGAGCATCATATTCAGTGTTTCATGAAAGGACTAAGCACATTGAGATTGACTGTCACTTTGTCTGAGAAGATACTCTCAAGAAATATTGTTACGAAATTTGTGAAGTCAAATGATCAACTTGCAGATATCTTCACCAAGTCCTCGTATTAATTACATGTGTATCAAGCTAGGTACATATGATTTGTATGCACCAGCTTGAGGGGGAGTGTTAGAATAAATATATATATATATATATATATTCCTACTTAGAATAGGAAGAAGAATAGGAATAGGAATCCTAGTTAGAAAAGGATTTCAACGTATTGTCTATAAATAGGGTCTTAATGTAACAATTTAGATACACAATTCAATAATATTTTCCCATATATTTCTCACAGTCTAGAAGCAAATCTGGAAGTCAGAAGCTCCTAGTTAAATATTTTGAATGGTTGGCGTCTAAAAACCTGTTTGACTCTGGACAATTTACAGAGATGGGGATCCCAAATAGTTAACAGGTGTCATATGTGTAAAGAAGAGGCAAAAATTATCAAACATCTATACCTGCATGGCAAAGCTGCTGCATGATTGTAGCAAAATTTCTTGAACATTTTGGGAATTAAAAAAGTGATGCCAAACTCTACCACTGAGTTACTGTCATGCTGGAATAGGAAGGGACTGTCAAAGCAAATGAAGAAGGCCTGGAATACAAAAAAGGTGGTGCATATGGAAAGAGAGTAGTAGGAGTCTAGCAGATGCTTTGAAGGACAAGAGAATTCATTCTTGTAGATCAAATTAGGTTGTATTTTGTTGATTTCTTTTTGGTGTAAACAGGATAGGACGAGTGATAGTGAAATCCTGCTACGATTCTTGGAATCTTTTGGTTAGACACACAGGGTTTTCTTTTTTATTGTTATTTTCTGGGTAAACGCTGAACTCTTGTAGTGCTGGTTTTTTTATATCAATATTACCATACCATTTCAAAAAGAACAGGTATATATAATCATAAATGTAAAATGCAAATATAACCTGAAGAAGAAGTATTCCCAATGTAGCCGATCCAAATCTAGTTGGAAGCTCACCCTTTTCTGCAAGAATCTAAAATTATGCCAAACTGAGCACAGAATCCATAGATCCATTCACTCAATAATTTCAAGTTCTTCTAACACAGGGTAAAACCCCCCATATTAATTCAGCAATTTTCATGATAGGAAACTAGACTCAATAAAGCTAATGAGATTAGAGAAAAATAAGAAAACTAGACTCAGTAAAGCTAATGAGATTAAAGAAAAATAAGAAAACTAGAGATAAGAACGAGAATACACAGGCAAAAGCACATGAAATTTCTCTATAAACAGTTTCAGAATTAATAAGAAGATACATCTTTAGGTATATCTTTCATATAAAGCTACAAAAATAATAAAATAGAACAGCTTCGCATTGCAGCAAATTTATTTTGATACTAAGGAAAAAGTTCTAATGACAAATACTAAGAAGGTACTGCAACAGTACAAGACAGGTTCTTCTCATCATATCAGCAAATCATACTATATTATAAGTGAGAAGCCCTCAAGTTAAAAGTTGAACGAAACTAACCTTATAAAGTCAAGTGACTGTAATATCCTTCAACTTGATATTGCTTCAAATATATATATTTAATTAGAAGCAGACAAACGTAACACCCTTTCCTTCACCATTTAATATTGGGATCCTATTAAATGTAAATAATAACTCCCATTAATATCGCTAATTATAAAGATTTTTTTAATAACAAGTTCCATGTAAGCGTTTTCATCTCATAACTTTAAGTTTTGCTCATTTATCTTCTACTCCTACTGCCATCTGATATTTTTTCTCTCACTTTATAAATTGCGCAAGTTTAGATAATTTCATTATCCATTCGTTGCATTTTTTTCTCTATTGAAAAATCACTGGTTGATGTAGCTGCTTATTATCAGCACTTATTTCTGCAAAACTATGTCTTGTTCTGTGTAAGGATTGTTCAGGTATTGTCCAAATTTTACCCAGTTTGACTTTAAAATTGGTTGGCTTCAGGAGTGGATTTCGGAAGGAAAGACTTCGTTTACTTCCTGCAAATCAAATAACTAAATGTTGTAGTATTACCATTGCAAGTTTCCTACAGATTTGTACTAGATATGTAAATCTAAATACCTGCTTATGAGGAAGTCTTTAATCAAATTAGATGAATATATATATAATCCAGTGAAGATGGTTTACGGAGTAATGAAGTAGTTTGGGAATTCACAGCATTAACCCTCATTTATGTTCTTCCATCATTTTTTTGCATGTTTACTTATATAAGCTTGGTCACTTTGTAATATTAATTAAAGAGCATTCTATAAGCTCTAAAATTGGTACTTGCTTTTTAAATTTTCTCAAGTTTATATTTTTATATGATGCAAGGTATTTTATGAGTCTGAACACTAAATATATTTTTTACCAGACAAATATTTCACCAAGAAGCGGCACCCTCTATAGGTTCCTATGTTAAATGGGAAACGGGATACTGCTAATTTTATTTGCGAGCACCCATATTCTTGAGATCAAAATTCCAAGTAATACTCACCAAAGCATATGTAGAATTCCATTTCTTGAGGTAAAACAACTTTGTAAGTTCAATAATTCCTCTTTTTCCAATCTTGTTATTGCAAGTGCAAATGGTACTTTGGATTAAAAAGGGGAAGGGATGGGGTGGAGTGAGAGAAGGGAACACATTTGTCTATCTACTTAAGTGGAGTACTCCATTAAGATATTCATTGTATAGCATGACTCTACCTATTATCAAATTCTAAGCATATATTTTAGTTCCTGGATCGGTATATTTTATCTAACCTATTTTGCTTTCTAATTTTCTATTTGATGATGCAATATATGCTCTAAAGGTTGATGGGCTCCATTACAATGTTGATACATGTAGTGTCCTCACATAATATATTCTGAGAATTGGTTAACATTGACGGAGGAAGTATCTAACGATTCAAGAGGAATAAAATGAAATTAAGATTAATAAATCTTAACTCCCTTGTAACACCTCGCAACTCTACTCTTAGAATATGAATCATTTGTCGTAAGTATATGAGCTTGAACCAGGTGATGCCCTACTTGCTCATGTGATTTAAGGTTCTTTACCAGGTGTAGGAAGTGGTTTGGGGTCATAAGAGACCAAGTAAATTGAGTTCAAAACCTTCCTACTAGCTAAGTTTTTCGCATTAGTTCATGGGAGGGTCAACTTCGAACGATCATATCTTCCAACATACAAAGACTAGGTAATTCATAACCTATCAAATTAAAGGTCTATGAGTCTTATTTCAAATGCCAACGAGTTTGCATCAATCGAAGTTCGGAGTAAAAAGTTATGATCATTTTAGTTTTGTTAGACATTGTTTTGGACATGCATTTCATTGGCTTGAATAATGTTGGATAGGTGTTTCACCGGTTGAAACATTGTTGGACGACCGGAAATCACTTAAGTCGGTTTTAGTCTGATCTTTCTCACTTTTGACCATTCTTTCAAACCCTAGAAGTGTTTTCTCTCCTCCTCTCATCCTTTTCCATCAAGGTAAGTCCTTTTTCATAGAATTCAAGATTTCAAACTCAAATCCCTCCGTCTATTCATAAATCATTGATAGAAATCTTAATTCTTGACAGTAGGGTTTTCAAGGAAGAGAATTCAAGAATCTCAAGAAAAGGTTTCTTGATCATTCTCCAAGTTAAGGTTCTTTGTCAAGATCTGTAGAACGTTTAAGGTATGTAAGGTTATCATAGTGAGGGATTCAGTTTTTTCATCACGCCCTGCACCTACAGTTTTAATTAGTAAGATCAAAGGTAGGGTTTTTACCCCATGATTCATAATTTTCGAATTTACTATTTATACCTATTGTTGAATTCATGATTTCACTACTTCACATTATTAATGATCTTTGACTATCGATTCATGCTTAATATACCACATGAACCCTTTATTTGTTAAGAGTTATTGAAGACCTTGTCATATTGATTTCTTATGAAATGTTTTCATGAGTAAAGTAAATTCCAAATCTTAAAGCAATATTTCACAAAGGGTTCAAGAAAGCATGAATTGCTTCAAGTGCATTATTTCCTTAAAGAAAAGCATAGTTAGCTAAAGAGAGCATATCTTAGTTTTGAGAAAGTGAAGTCAGTTTTCATAAAGCATAGGATTTTAAAGCAAGTCGAGTATAGTTATAGAGAAGCATTTTAGAGTATTAACTAAAGTGGGACCTTTTTCCCTAAATGGGACATCATACTGTTATTGAGCATTATTGCATTATTTTGGGGGTAGTATTGAGCACCGAGTTTGGTAAGGGTTCAGATAATCCAAACCCCATAACTGCACAACTAGAGTAGGATAGGATCATGTTGTTGATTCGGGCGACTCCTCATAAGCGCTGGTAAGGGCTTAGATATTGGATCCATTAGTTAGTTCATCCTCTACCCTAGCAAAGTATTGGATGACTCTAGCAACGTGGACAAGACGTTGTATTTTCACAATGCTCATAGTGATAGTTGTGCATTAGAGAAACTTCCCACTAAAAGTATACTATTTTAGCATTTGATATTATTGCATATATCTAAGTTGTAAAGCTTTATTGTTTTCAATACATTTGCATGTGTTACTTTACAGTTATCTATGGTACAGTCTTCTGAGTTACTCTTTCAGTTAAGTATATTCAGCATAATCATTGTTTCATTGAGCCATACTGTACATTTCATTAACAGACGCCATTTGGCGTTGCATCTTTTAATGAGGCAGATATAGATTTTCAGGATCGATAACATGCCCCGCTTCGTTGAGATCCTCTCCATCATTTTTTGGTGAGACCTCCTTGCCTTTCGGAGGGCTCCTTATTCAATTATTTACTTCTTTATTGTTTGACATTTTAGTTAAAGATGCAGATACAGTTTTCAGGATCGATAGCAGGTGCTTCGTTGAGATCTTCTCCATCAGCTTTCGGTGAGACCTCCTCGCCTTCCAGAGGGCTCCACTTCAGTTATTTTCTTCTTTTTTATTGTTAGACATTTTAGTTATCATTCAGGCAGTCATGCGTCCTGTCTCAGCACCTATCTTAGTTCAGTTTGATATTTTTCCTCTCTTCAACAAAATTCTATTGAATATTTTTTTTAAGAAATAGAAAAAGAAAATCCAGTAAATTTGAAAATGTTGATCCTAATCATTTAGATGATTTGTCAAAAATAGCTCAAATTTGATATACTTTTCATTTGATAAAATCTATTTACCTTTTAATTTCTTGAGATATTTTCCCATACCAATTGTCAAGTTTGATAACAAGTTTCTACAAAAGAAAAAATCAATTGAATAGAACAACATTTTGGATCCAATTTGCATAACTCAACTCAAAAATAATGTAATATGGAAAGAAACTGAAACTTATAAGTGAAGAACTTATGAACGTAAGCTATCTTAAACATAACTCTTCAAGTGAGAAAATAACAAACACACTATGATTTATAACTTCAACTAATTGAAATTTTTGACATCAGAAATATAGAAATTTTTATTTATTTGATTAAATAATAATTTTATTAATGTTTCGGAAAGACATGCATGTATACAAGAGGTATACCAAAAATAGAAAAAACTACAAGAGATGGTTTTATACTAATGAGCTAATGTTCATAAAATACAATAGAACATTGAGGTGTCGTTACAACACTAGCAATGTAATTGATCCAATTCTTTTGGACAATATTGATGATGCTAATGAATGGCTAACCTGAGTCCCTGTATTTCATGAAGATAAAGCAATTTTTTTGTTGATTATGCTTTCACTTGGGGTGTTGTTGCGGAGACAAATGGAGTTTAGGAGAACCATTATGGTTTAATGAGGAATACTTCAAGCTTACATAGGAGGGAAAAAGAAGTAGCTACAAGCCTATCTTTAGTTGATGAAGTTGAAAGTGATGATAAAGTTGATTAAGATTATAGCAATATAATGAAATAGGAAGAATACAAGATTTTGGCAACCTTGTAGAAGTAGAAGAATAAGAATTAGATGTTGAACCATTAATAAACTTTGATTTTGTTTGTCCTATGGTTTATGGAGATTTTGTGATATCTACTTTTTAATTTTTAATTGGAACTTCTTCTTGTATTTATTGTCTGTATTTATTTTGGTCTTTTCTCTTTTAAATTGCACTTCACTTCAATGAAGCAAGCACTTCGCTTCACACTTTATGCGAAGTAGGGCCCTGTCACTTTTTCTCGCTTCACGCACTCTAAAATACTGCCATGAACATCATTGTCTACCATGGCTGCATAAGGATGTCAGATGCTTGGTCAATTTGTCCTAGATGATAGGGAAGATGTCTCCTAGGAAGCATATTATCTCAAACCGTATGGCTCATTCTGAAGATGATAGCCTGTGTTAAGGCTAAGCATACATTCCACTTGACTATTAACTCAAAAAAGGCAGATGGGAGCTATGTCCTAGTATACAGGCTACAAAATCTCTGGCTTCCGAAATCCTATCTTCAGAAAATCTTTCTATTTACACAAAAAGAAAATAAACAATGAGGAAAAGAAAAACTAAGTCCCTCATAAGCTAAAAAACGGGTCAGTGGTGTTAAAACATGTAAAAGATGTAGGACTGCAACCACATTATTTTTATATCTACAGACGCTGGAACTATGTAAAGACATCTGTTGTCTCTGAAATTGAAGGTACTAAAATTCAGTTACAGGATGATGTTCTAAGCTCGTGCTTAAAATCTTATTAGATATGCAGTACAGCACCTACACCTTTGCAAACTTCTAGAAAACTTGGTCTTGTCAGAACGGAAAAGAATTGAAGTACAAAATAAACGTTAGATACTAGAGAAATTTTAGGATAGTTGCAAGACAAAGCCACAGTCATGAGATAAAAAGAAGCCTTCTAAGCTCCAAACAAAGTAATTAAAATAAGTTGAACCCAAAATGCCATTATTGTAACACCTTCTAATTACATTGGGCATAAGACTAAGTTAATAAAATTACTTGAACTTGAAATATTTGGAATGTATTTAGTCTTAAAAGAGTAAGTTTGGAGGAAAGTAAAGCCAAATGTTGTAAGTTTCATCAATTGGACACACTACTAAGTGACCATGGTTATGGTTTGAGAATGAATGAACATACCTCACAGGATATAGAGAGTTAGAGGCTGTACTACCTATCCAATTAATGATGTTTGAGTCGTGTTTCCAGCAAAACAAACCGCTCGTCAATCCGAGTTCAAGATTAAGAGCTATGTGAGTATGAAGAGGACATTGTCGACAAGATTCCTGCTTACAGCCAAGTCACGTGTATATGACTAAGTTGCATCGATTAGATTAATCAGTCTTCGAAAAAATGAGACGAAATTTGAACCTAAAGTCTGAGGTTCAACAGTGCAACAGTGAAGATAATAGTTGAACAGGATATTGGAGATATTGGAAAGATGTGAGAAGAAATTGACCAATTGGAAGAGTAATTATCTATCACTAGAAGGGAGGATTATTTTGGTGGATAGTGTATTAGACTCACTCCTACACATATGATGTCCCTTTTTCTTGTACCACTTACCAGTAAAGATTCAGAAAAAATTGATGCTTTAAAGAGGAATTTCATTTAGCAGTGTAACAAGAGAATGAATGTGTTCACTTGGTGAACTGGAAGTCACAGACTTGTAGCAAGGAGGACGGGGCTTGGGAATAAGAAATCTGAGACAACATAACAAGAGCCTTCTATAAATTGGCTATGAACATTCTCTATGGAGGACCAGGCCTAAGGAGAAGGGTGGTAAGTGAAAAATATAGAGTACATGGTGTTGAAAGATGGTGTCAGTTACACACGGAATTAGTGTATGGGCGTCACAAAAGCACTATGGATAGACTTTGTAAACAGAGTGAGCATAACAGAGGAAAATGGTGTTAGGACCTCATTTGGAATGATGATTGGATTGCAAATGATCTTTCAAAGATATTTTGCCTGACATTTTCAATCTGGTAAAGGATCTAAAGTTCATAGTGGCTGAGGAATTTAAGCTTCAGCAGGCTCTTAAATGACTGGAAAACAGTAGATTGGTTAACTTTTTAAAGCTGTTAAAGAACTTCATAGGTACTACTGAACAAAAGGATAGGCTGGTGGGCAATAGGTGTAGTAGAGGAAGTTTCACTGTGGGTTCTACTATGCAGGTTTAAACAAAACTGTGCAGGTTTTTTGGGCATGGCATTGGAAACATGTCTGGAAAGTGAACATGCTCTTCAAAGTAGCATGTTTTCGTTGGTTAGTGCTTAAAAAGGCAATCTTGACACAAGACAATTTGAGGAAGGGGCATGTATTTAGTGGACTCTGTGACAGGAAAGGAACTCACGATGTTTTGTAGACATTCATAGCTCTCAACAAAAGATCAAGATGCACTGTTTTTTTTTTGTTTCACTTTTGGTGTAAAGAAGGTTTTGTTGATGATGTAATTATTTGTCCTCTTACGTCCGTGTTAAAAAACATCATTACAAGGGATCCATGCTAATATATCCCTATTAAAGTTCAACCTAGAATGTTGCAGCTTCAATTGCACCTAGATTTCCATTAATAAGGGATGCCAAAGAGTTCGCCAAGAAATGAATCTTTAACAGAAAGAATACTTTTTCAAATAAAAGCCTTTAACAGGTAGAAGGCATTTGCTCATTGCACACTCCTTTTCATCTCAAAAAGTACAAGGCATTTGCAACATATTAGGCCATTGTAGCTTACTAAGAAATTACCTGCAGAACAAAAGCTGAAGAAGACAGTGAAAGCGCAGCACCAATCACTACAGCCTCATCAACACTTCTAATATTCACCTGCATCCTAAATAAGTTATTGACCGAGGAGCAAAAAGAGGATATTGGAAAGTGTAAACATTGTGTAAGTAAGTGCCTATCGAATATCCTTACCAAAATATAAAAAAAGATGAAGTAGAGAATATTATTTCATATCTATAAGGCAAAAGAAAAAAAAATTGCATGCATCCAATAAGTTAGTGATGACGCAGAAAGGGGATAAAGGAGAGCGTCAATGGCGTAAACGTAAACACCTAATCGATATCTATATCTTATAAACTTAGAAGATTTAACCGGACTAGCAACACAGCATAGCCCTTTACAAAGAATAGCCCTATTCATTTCATATACCCTAGTTAACATTTAGGTTTCATACTTCTATAGCCAGTCCTTCAAAAACCCTAATCTTTTCATACCTCATTCCTCTCCTAAGTTGCTCGGACTCTTCACTTTTGGTGCAGCACCCATGTCGACGCGACGTGGGTGTGGGTGTGGGTGTGGGATCTGTGCCCGACTTGGTCAACTGATTTTGGGTACTTTGACCAAAATCGATGGGATATGTCTGGACAATTTTAATGATCTCTATAATCAATAAAAGAAACTAAGGTCAAATTGAAAAAATGGAATACCTTTATATAGAAATTTCTATGTCACTCCTTTTCCTTTAATCTCCTTCCAAAATTCTCCTCGAGTTCTCCACATAATATCACATAATTTAGATTTTAGAACTCTATTTTTTGGATATTTTAATTGTTTTTAGGTGAATCCCCGCAACTGTATCCATACATGGATCCATATCCCCGAAATCTTAAAAATTAGATCATTAAGGATCCGACCTCTGGAGCCGCACCCGTATCAGACACTCAAACCCGAGTCCGAGCAACTTAGTTCCTCATAAATCATATTAACATTCGTCTCTCTAACCCTAACACTTCATTATCGTGCCGCTTCTAATCCTTCAGCTGATGCCGTCGAATTCCTTCCTCTTCTTCACCTTCAATGGTAGACACTCCGTAAATAGGAAAAGGGTTTATGGTAAAGTGGGACAGATATGGACTCTATTCCTTTTTCGGAGGTATGATGTTATCTGAATTACAGGACCCTATCAAGAGCTCGAGGATCCAGTAGCTAATCAGGAACTTTCAGAGAAGTTCAAGGGTTTAGCCAAAGTTTGTATTTCATGAATTGTACAAGTACTTATAGTTAAATACAAGGTATAGATTGAATCACATCTTTCGCTAACCAATTTCCAGAACTGTTACTGTTCACAACTAACTTTCCCGCTAAAAATGGTTAACTAATTTGACTAACAACTATCTGCTTTGCTGACTCAGCCACCATGTAATTCTGATATAAAATATGTAGACTAGTTGGCAGATATGAGGATGCTGAGGTGGATATGTGGGAGTGCCAGGAGAGATAAGATTAGGAATGAAGTTATTCAGGACAAGGTGGAAATGGCCCCCATGAAGGACAAGATGTGGGACATGTGAGAGGTTGGTCATAGTGGGCTTGAGGAGGGGTAGAGGTAGGCCCCAAAGGTACTAGGTGAGGTGACCAGGCAGGATATGGCGCCTCTTCAGCTCAGCAAGGACATGACCCTTTATAGGAGGGTATGGAGGTTGAGGATTAGGGTAGAAGTTTAGTAGGAAGTCAGGCAGATTTCTTTCCCATTCTCAGAGTACAAGTATAATTCTTTTTTCCCTTATCTTTAGATTTCTATTAATACATGTTTCTCTAGCTCTCCATATCTTATTTTCTTGATGTTGTTTCTGCTTATTACTGATGCCTCTTTTCATCGTTCGTTCAAGTGAGGGTCTATCAGAAACAACCTCTCTACTAGTTACCTTCTCAAGTTAGGGGTAAGGTCTGTGTACACTCTACCCTCCAGACCTTACCAGCAGGATTACACTGGGTTTTTTGTTGTTGTTGTTGAAGATTAGATGGGGTCGAGCAGAGTCTTAATAGGTCATGGTTTTGTGTAGTTCCTTGTTAGTCACTGTCTTTTGTAGATGAGCTAGGCTCTTCTTTGAGATTCAACAGGAGCCCTTAGATGAAATCTCCAATTGTTTAAAAAATGGCAGCAACATTTTCTCGCTATTTTGGTAAAAGTCTGAGAAAAGAAAAGTCTAAGTTCACATGGAACACCATCTATCTTCTACTTTTCTTCTATTTTTTTCTTTAGACTGCCTTTATTTTCCAGATCTGCCAATGGTGAGGTTCTAGATCAGCAATGAATGTGTAATCACTGGATATTTGATGTATAATTGGTATGCAATCAGTTTATCCTTATTGCATAATATTTATATTTTATACACTAATTATATATAGATTATATTACTGTTATCATTCTCAAAAAAAAAAATAGAGAGAGTATATTACCAATTATACAGAGTAGACATTGAGTTTCAGTGTTTTAATCAGTGTATTCTCAATGTGTATTGTTTATACATATACCAAGTATCCGTTAGACATAACCATTATCAATGTTTCACCGACTATGTATAATTAGTATATTTCTTGTGTACAATGGAGAGAGGGGATTTGAGGTGCAAGAAGGAGTAGTGAGTGGATAGTGGATAATTAGTATGTTTCTTGTATACATTGGAGAGAGGGGATTTGAGGTGCAAGAGGGAGTAGTGACTGGATAGTGGATGTTGAATGTTTGTACTTTGTTCTAACCAGTTTGTGATCTATTACCATCAAATCTGAACTTGCTGCACTTCTTCTTTTTTTTTGGTAAGGTAACATTTTATGGAAAATTTGGATCAAGATGGTACAATTACGACACCCGAGCTGCAGATACAAAAAGACTTCTAAATATTACCTAACTCCTCTAGAAAATCCATATATTGATCCAAATATCCAAAACACTACTTTTACACCAGATCTGTTAATTTAGTAAGGTCCTACTTTTTATCCCGGAGATATGTCATCTTTTTCCTTCAAAAGAGACCCTATTTTCTCTCGCCAAATCGTCCACATAACACCTTAACTACTGTTCTGAGTGTTCTCTAGGCAGACAGCTTACTCTTTGTAATCTTCTAAAATTACCAAGTCTCAGGCAGCCATCTGACACCATATTATATATTAAAAAAGTACCCAACATTTTGTTGCCACTTAGCAATGACTAAATAGATGATTGACAGTTTCTAAGTATTCACACATATAGCATTTGTTTCCAAGAATAATTCATCGCTTCTGCAAGTTCTCCTGAGTTAAACAAATTTCCTTTGTTGCCACCAATACAAGCAAGCTACTGTACTAGGTGCTTAGAACTTCCAGATGGCTTTTCATGTCCAATCTAGCTGCTCAATTACAATGGAGCATTTAGAGAAACAATAGAATTGGACCAGAACAGAGAAGAATATCTAAGGATTCATATCGCCAGCCCGAACTAGTTTGAGATTCAAACTTAGTTGATTGTTGATTGATAGATAATCAATCAGCGCTTTCTATTCTATTCTAACAAATAGGATTCCCAAAAAGTCCAAAAATCAACCATACAAGTAAATAACATAAACATTGGTTGACCTTTACAATATGAAATATTTCTTTTTATAATTCTGGTGTCCGGCCAAACTTGCGCGATCTCAACTAATTCTTGCCACCTCCCATCAGCATAGATTACAGCATGAAATACGTCTAAACCAATAATATCCTCAGTGCTTATGCTATTTTTCCAGGGATGTCATTGTCAAATACAGTAGCTTATGTAGGCAAAACAGTGTGAAGTCACCTCCAATTTTCTCTGTAACTGATTCTCTCACCAAAGACATGATCTTTTAATGACCCAACAAAGAAATGATTAACAAAACATGATTGCACTTTAACAAGGAACGACTTTCTTTTTATTTTATTTAGGAGAGAGAAAGGGAAAGGCTAGGGACTTGTGAACATAATAACATAACAAATAAAACACAGAAAAATGAAGAAGAACAATCAAGAGTAAATGAAAGGAAGGTCTGACAAACTACTTACTCATATCTGATTAACTATTTACCAACAAGAGTACCTTGCTTTTAAGTGGTATACCAACACACTGCATACATTTCTAGCCTTTATAAAAGCCCCTCCATTTGCTATAGGAGTTATTTCAGTACAGTTAGTTCCTAAAGGATGATACTTACCAGATCAGGCCTTGAATGAAAAAGAAACTCCAAAATCTTTGTCCCGACGGCATCATTAGGTGGAAGCTCGAAAGATGTAAATGCCAAAGTAGATAATACAACCTTCAACATAATAAACAAGAAAGCATAAGGCAAATGTTTGAAGCACCACATAGTACCTAGGTACAATATCCTAATGGAAATCATCAGATATCAAACTTCAAGAATCCATAAAGCTCGAGCATCAAACAACAGCACATACTTTCATTCAGATTTAAGTTTAGCATTTTTCTATGACAGGGTGTTATTTAATTACAGAAGTACCAACAAGGTACTGAAAGATTACATCAGAAAAGGGAGCATCCTTATATAGGTTGAAGAAGATCAGACTGTCTATCAAAGAATCAAAATCAGATACAATATTATTCCGACCCCACAAATAGAGACTTTTTAAACATATAGATTTTACAAGTGAAATGCTATCCCTTCTATCGTTAGAACACCTATTATTTCTTTTCAACCAGATAATCCAAAATACGCAAGAAGGAACAGCATTCAGAACTGTTTGGTTCTTTGCGTAAGGACTATTTACATCGCCATTACAGAACAAGTTTAAGACTTCCTTCCAATGACCCATTGGCTCCAGAAATGTCTAGAAACATTGAGAAAATCTTCCTTGTGAAGGTGCAACAAAGCAGCACATGTAATGCATGTCATTGCTAAGATATTACCTGAAAAAGTGTAACCTTCTCCAGAAACCAACTAAATCAAATAAATAGTACAATAACAAGAACTAACAGGTTCCCCCAACTATAACTCAACCCTGTAATGTGTGTCAGCAAAATAGGAGAAGAAACATTTGGTGTATGATGATTGTTTAGTCCTCAACAGAACTTGAGTAGAACAGACTGTGTCAAAAAGAAAGAGAAGGGTGAGAAATCTGGACTTCCCTAAAAAGGCTGAGAACTCTGGCTTTGAGAAGCTTTTAATTTGAAAAAGTGAAATATTAACAAACTGCATGTCTGTAGCAGATCTGTCTCCACCTGGTAAGGAGGAGATGGAGCTTCTCTCACTCCATCATGTTAGTGGCAGATGAAGTAACATAAACTCAACTCTCTTGAGACATGCAAAGGATCAAATTTATAACAGAGTTAAATTTAACTTTTTATTACTGTATTTCAATAAAACAGTAAGAAAGTCTAAAATAGGATTAGAGATGCTCTTAATCAAGGTTATTACTTTTTATAGCATTACTTTTGCAACCATAGTAATGCATACGAATTTGGTGCTAGAACGAATCACATCCTTCTACCCAAAAATAGAAGCGGTAGAGTGATTACTTAATTTGCGGCGAAGTGGTACCAAAAGAGTAAATTAGTATTCTAGCAACACTAGAGTGTAAGCCTCTACGCACCAACCCCACTAGACATACTGCAAGGATTGAATGAGAGGGTAAAGAGATGTAATAAAGAACCCAGGAAGATGAGGTGAAGACTGCCTTGTTGAAAGAGGATAATTCCAATACACACCCAAATAGTGTCTGTCAACATATATCCTTTTATCTTTATCTGTAAATTTAATTATGCACTACTGACTACTATCCATGAGCTAGAAATTTGGAACCCATTATAATAAGATAGAATAGGAAGATAAGGTAAATGAGTAATATATCTAGTGGTAACTCCATTGACAGAATGACCAAAATGACGCAAACCTTTAGTCAACACAATGGAGTCCAAACTCCTTAAGGCCATGAAATGGTTCCAAAAGCAGAGAATCAACTTCTATTCTATGTAGAGATATATCCTACATAATAATTCCTAAAATTGCAGACAATAACAGTTATAAATATCTCAAGTGGGAGGTGCATTGTCTTCAAGCACAAGACTGCCCCTCTTACATTTATCTAAAAAGCATAATGAAGCACCATTGCAACTTCTTAACAGGAATGTAATATAAATGTCTGTTGCTGAAACAATAGGTCTTTTTCCATGGGATGTAGAATTTCAGTAATCTATTAGAAGGCGTGGTTCATTTTTTTTACTGAAAAGTACCTGAGTCAGTCCCATGCCAAAAGCAAACTTTGCAAGCGCTTTCAAGCGTGCAAGTGAAAGCTCTAATCCCATTTCAAAAAGCTGTAGAAAGATATTTCCTTGAGTCAGATTCAACCTTGCAACATTCTTAACAAACAAAACCAAGGATACAAGAGAAGAAATGTCTAATATTATATTAAATGCTTGATTAGAAAAATAGGGTATTAAAACAGATTAAGATCTCGATTTTCCATAGAAGACTTCCTAGAAATTTATAATAATGCAACAATCCACAAAGCATACTGACCTTTAAGCTTCTAAGGTATGCTAATCATAACTATATTTCTTTACGAAACTAATATGTTGTTGGATCAGAGGATTCCAGTTACTGAAAAACACATCTCTACTTAAGAATAATATTTTTAATCAAGTAAGGACTAAGGATTCTTAAGTTAGGTATTATCCTCTAAATAAACAGGGGGTCCAGCTAGAAAGATGAAGAGGGAATCCATAACACCATACTACAAAAGCAGGAGAAGCAAGAATTTTTTAATCAACAAATTGAACCTGTAATCCTGTGATGTGAAAGAAATGAAGGAGCAACATTTCTATTCTACCAGATGGAACAGCAGAGCATATTCCCCCATTTAAGATATAGCATGTTTAAAGTAACAATTTTTTTATCAAGTAAAACAATGTTTGAAGTGACATAACTTGGAAGGGTGAAAGCAAACGTAGAAACCTTCTGAAATATCAATTACTACGCTTTTGTTCCCATCGAAACGTTGCTATTAATTAAAACCTAAGTTCTATCCTGAAAACTAAGCATAAAACTTTTTTATCCTCCTCAAAAGAAGCAGAAGGCTATCTATTCTTCTTTTGGCTTCCTTATCCAGCACAATATACTGACTACAGCAAACCGTTGTGATATCAGTCGCGAATTTTCATGATAAAGTTCCATATAAAACATGTTTCTGTTACTTGATTTCAGTCATACTGTAATTTGTTAAAAGGACTTTGAAACATTAACCATCAATAGCTTGGAATGGTAAAAATAAATGTATAACCTTTTCAAATGTCAATTACTTCGGTTTTGTTTCTATTGAAATATTGGTATTAATTAAAAGCTAAGTTCTAAGTGCCCGTTTGAATTAACTTATTTTAGGTGTTTTTAGGCCAAAATAGCTTTTAAGCAGTTTTGAAGTGTTTGGGTAAAGTTAAAAAGTGCTTATAAGCATTTATTTTAAAGCCAAAATAACAAAAATAAGTCAAAAGCCATAAGTTAGAAATCCTAACTTATGGTTTTTGGCTTATAAGTCATAAGCCAAAAGTCAATCCAAACCGGTCATAAGAATAAGGTTTTCTCTTATTTAGTCTTTTGCCTTCCTTATCCTGAAAAATAGTCCTACCTTAGAAAACAATCGCAATGTTAGCCTTTCATTTTCATGATTAAGTTATGTATAAAACAATCTCCTTGGGCAAGTGGTTCACGGTTCGAAACTCATGGATAACAGGTTCACCCTCAACCCTTCTCCACATAAATATCCGGATTTGTACTACGCTTGACCCAAACATCACAAGTTGCACTTCTTATCACTAGACTAGAGCTCGTAACGTATCATTTTTAGGCGTAAATACAGGAATTAACTACATGTTCACCTCACCGGAACATCAATGCAAGCAAAAAAGTTCAAAGTTAAACAACACAACATACGATATCACTTCCATCTCCCCCCCCCCACCCCCACCCCCACCCAACCCCCAAAACAAAAGTCTAATCCAACAGAAAAATTAAATCACTGATCTTGACTAAAATGGTCTTTGTTTGTCATCATACATTTAATTGATTGTTTTTCATTGATCTTTCTATACGAACATATATAATACAAGTTTTTTTTCAAATGAGTCAAGACGCAAGCAATGGGAAAGATGAATTTAACCGCATATACTATCATATGCCCCAGATCCTATAAGTAAATATGAGTAGTTATGGATCTATCAGTGTTTTCCCAATACTCGCTAATTGGATGTTTGGAGTTTGGACAAGTTAGATTTTCCAAGGTGCTCAATTACAATAGAGCATTTGGAATTTGGATCTGTCAAAAATGCCCTCAACGTATTAGAAATGGTTCCAATTTTCCTCTCCTTCCACCTATAAAATCAAATTGCCCCTCCTTCCACCTATTGGTTAAAAACCCCTAACCTGTTCCTCGAAAAAATGCTCTTAACCGATTAGAAATAGTTGATATTTGCCCTCCTTCTACCTAAAAAATGTTTATCAACTATTAACTATTAGTTAATATGCTTGTGCTTCCGCGGTCTTAAATATCTTATTCGAATTTATAAAAATAATATATTTATAACATGAAAATACTTTTTAGCCTTCAAATTCGAATAAACTAAGTCTCAATTTTTTAAGCTACTTTACTACTAATAGCATCTTAGTTGTGTACGTGTTTTTTCCCATTACTTAACAATTTCAGACTTTAAAATCTACTGAGATTTTTGTATAATTTATGTTTAGAGATATTATATTTCCACTCTTTCTTAAGAAACATCTTAACAGAAAAAAATCGCAATGCATAATGAAATTCCTCTTTCTCTGTGACTAGGACAATTTTTTAACAACATGCATTCAGGTCAACTTACATGTTAGTTCATATATTTTGTTTATTTAAAGCAAGTACTTCTATTAGGTATGCAACATTTAGACAAACAACCAAGAACATTCCAAAAGAAAAAATCAAAAGGAAACTAAATAATTGTCAAACTATAGTAAAAACTAGTAAAATTAACCGCACTTCGTGCGGGAATTTAATATTACAAAATTTATAAAATAATACTTAAAATCGATATCTCATTAAAACTAAAACACTATATTATCTTACATACAAGATTAACCTTTCATAGAAGTTATAACTTTTCATAAAAGTCGCAACTCTTCATTATAGTCGCAACTTTTCATAAAGGCGCAATGTTTTATAAAAGTAGCAACTCTTTATAAAAGTTGCAACCCTTCATTAAAGTCGCAACTTTTCATTAAAGTCACAACATTTCATGAATGTCGCAACTTTTCATGAAAGGGGAAGGCTAATTTTGAAAATAAATAAATTAAAAGGGAATTCTGGTTTGTGGTGGCGCCACATAGGCGGGCCTAAGGTTCTCTGTTATATAGATAAATGATGATATGATATGAAAATTAAAAAATAATTACAACTAGAAAATATTTTTGAGTCATTTCTAAAAGTTAAGGGCATCTTTGATCTAATAAGTACTAGGAGGGGCAAATTTGAACCATTTCTAATTGGTTAAGGGCATTTTTGATTCAATAGACAGGAGATATTTTTTAACCATTTCTAATACGTTAAGGGCATTTTTGAACATTTTCCCCTTATAGAAAAAGTAAAAATGGGAGAACTAAAAAGCTAAGGATTCATAACGCGAACTGCAGCTAGTTTGACGATTCAGGCATAGTTGATTGTTGCTTGATTGATTTAGACAATCAATAACCGCTTCTACTCTAATAAATAGAATTTGCAAAAAGTTAGAAAATCAAACGTGCAAGCACATAACATAAATACTGGTTGACCTTTACAATGTGAAATATCTTTTTTAACAATTTTAGTGCCCGAGCCAGCTTGTGCACACCTCTACTAATTCCACAGGGTGCCTGCTTCCTCTCACCAGCACAAGTACATGAAATATGTCTAAACCAATAATATTCACAGGTGCCTATGCTACTTTGCAATGGATGTCATTATCAAATACAATAGAAAATAAATAGGCTGATAGAAGGCAAAATGGTGTAAAGTAACCTCCAACTTTCTCTGCAACTGATTCCCTCAACAAATACATGATTAAAAACATGGTTGCACTTTAGCAAGGGGCGCCATTCTTTGTGTTTTATTTAAGAGAGTAGTGAAAGGAGTAGGGATTTATGAATAGAACAATAACAAACCAAACATGGTGATATGAATAAAAAAAACAAGAAAAAATGAATGGAAAGATTGACAAACTACTTAGTTACTCATATTTTAACTATTTACCAACTTGGATTTCTTGCTTTTAAGTGGTATACAGACACACTACATGCACGGTCAAATGTTGAAAATGGGATATACAGCAACCAATGAGCTTACCAAGAAAAGAATCCCCCACTCCGAAAGAACTTTAACATCTGTGATGTTTCTGATCAGCCCAAATTGATTGAGCACAACTCCAGCAAAGAAAAAACCAAGTATCTGAAACCAATAAAAAGATTAGCACCATCTGACTACAAGAAATCAGTACAATACAATCTCTGTCTCAAACTTCAGTGACATGAAATTTTTGATGCAACTCCAACAGATGACTAGTTAAGAAATGAATCCATACCATGTTCTCACATATAAACTATTAGATGCATAGTTAAGCAATTATTTGCAAATATGGGTGGAAAATTATTTCATGGAATATTTTTTTACACATCTTAAAAGTATAATCACTTCTAAGAACTTCCATGATTTTGCCTAGGACGCCAAAGAGTCATTCAGAGAAAGAGACACAGATTGTTTTAATGCAGATGTCTATAAGAGCCTTCAGCTAGACTTGAAATGTTAATTATCCGTGGAAAGCATTGAATACGCCCTCATAGAGAGGTAAAATACATCAAAGACGTCACCTAGGGGATGTAAATTTTAACTCAAATGTCAATGCAAGTACCAAAAATGGCTGGTAGTTAGGACCATAATACAGTACTGTGGTTTCCAGCTAAGTTGTGCGGACTCTTCACTTTTGATGCCACATCCGTGTCGGATTCTCCAAATATACACTACTTTTGGCGAATCCGACGTGCACCCCTTGACATTTTTGAAGAGTTCAAGCAATAATACTTTATGTTGAAACGCAAGCAACTGAGTCCAGATAAACTCAGTGTAACAAGTATAGTAAAGGTCAAATATCGACAATTCAAAGTTTCTTTCATCAAGTCAAAAAACAGCTTTATTCTTTCTCACTGGAAAACACAAGTACAGGCGAGTAAGTCTTTGGGTTGGACTTGGATGTAATATAGATATCATAGGCATACATGTTTTAATGTTAACTTAGGATAAAATCCAAGATACAATCTGAGCTGATATTGTTCACATTGTCTTTTGACAATACGGATCAAATGAAGGCATATAATTCACTCAGATCAATGTTGTTATGATTTAAGGCAAGTGAACAGGTTTACAAAAGCTATCATGTGTTTATTCCTGGATATTTTCATTTTGGAAGGCAATTTTAGAAATTAATATTATGTAAAGGGCTGCATTTCCTTGTTAGGATACACAGGAAGACATCCACCTTCCCATATAAACTATCTGCATTACAGCAATATTAACTAGAAACTCGATTTGGTCTTAAGATCATGAAGTGTACTCACTAATACCTCAATGCTGACATAGGTAACCTTGAGACCAGCTCCTTATTTAACCCTAAAATTCATCAGCAAAATTTACTTCACTAAAGTAGTCAACTCTGTTTTTGACTCAAGTATCAAATAACAAAAGGATAGTAGCACTTGATTTGAAAAGCGGAAATCTTTCATGAAAAAGTACTTATCTGTTGACACATACACGCATAACCAATTATAACATGAAGCAAACAAAGAGGAAGGACTTGAATAATGCATTCAACTCACAGGGCTAGCTTTTATGGTCTTGAAGGCAGGAACAATGAGTACAGTCACAGCTAAGAATGTCAAAGTGTCTAACCCGAGGTCATTGATAACATCAACAGCACTTGCAACATCAAGTGATGCACATATCTGAAACCTACACCTCAAAGATTTTTGGTGTTTTAAGATACGAACTCCTCTTCCGCTGTACGAAGATGAAAAAGGTGTACGTTTGCAAACACCATTTGTTCCAGAAGATGGATGGTTTATCTTGTGATATGAAGAAATATGAATGGACTTGTTATAGGTATATGATACATTTGAATAATGTGGATGCAAACAAGAAGCAGAAGAGGTGGACCAGGTAGACCTCGTTTGAGATCTTACATTATATCCCTGCAAGGTAAACATATTAATTGTCATTTACTTGAGTGTACATATGATCACAAGACATTATAAAGAGATGCTGAGAGAGTGAGAGACTATAAAAGAAAAGCAGATATTTAGATGAAAGCAGAATAAGGTTATAGTCGCATTCATGTATTGAAGAATTCAACCATCTGGATACAACATTACATTTGCAAAAGTATAACATTAACAGATCATATTTGTCCCAAATTACTTGATATATTAATTAAATTTCTCATTTTACCCTACAATTAATATCATCATCATGCTTAATGTTCCAATAAATATTCTTTGAAGCTTAGACAAAACTAAAGTTCCTAGAATTTATCTTTTCTAAGAATTCATTAAATACTTAATTATTACTACCCAAAGGGGGTGGCCTAGTGGTTTGAACTTGGACTTCCATGTTGGATGTCTCAAGTTTGAAACCCTTGTCAAAGAAAGCAAAGGTTTGCTTCTGGATCAAGCTCGTCGAACCAAGTTTGCCTAGTCTGGGTTACCTCTCCTACGTGATATTGTGAGTTTTTGCATAGGAACGGGGTTTTAGCGCACCCTTTGGTTAGTGGCTGTGGGCTTCCTTGTCATCAAAAAAAATTAATTATTACTCCTTTGTACTCTTGCTCTCGCTCACTTTGATGTACATCCTATGTCATCATAAATTATGTTGATATTCATCAATATGTATATATTAGCCAAATTGATCGTGTAAAATGAAAAGAGATGAGTTATTATGAGTATTTCTGAAGGAAAAAAGAATGAAAACTATTTGGTAATAGTAGCATTTCAATTTGAAGATTATGATGAATTTGTAGAGGAGACTTCAATTCATACCTTGGGAGGTGGAGTGCGAAGGATGAAGTCACACATAGTCAACACAGCAAGCATTGAGCAATGGGAACATCAACAACTCTCCCTTGCTGTTAATTTTTTTTTTTGTATATATTGAGAATATGAATGGTGAGAAAAACCCAAAAGGGAAATGAAGAGGGTGATGAGTGGCCACGCTGGGTGAAGCTGTTGCTGTTTAGAGAGAGAAAAAGAAAAAAGAGTTTTTAGGGGAAGGATTGATTTCCTGGAAGCAGTGATTCATGGACCAAAATGGCTGTTGAAGATTTTCTATGACAAACACCCCCTTTTTACGTGGCCTTCTTTTTTTCGGTTTTTTTTTTTAAATCTCTCCACACGCCAACTTGGTCTATCATTGGCTCATTATAAACGTAGGGTGCGTTTGAATTGAAGGAAAATATTTTTTAGAGAAAAAAAAAATTGCAAAATGTTTCCAAATTTTTATGTGTTTGGTTGGTTTGAATGTTTTTCAAATTAATTTTTTTTCTCAAATTTAAGGAAAATAATTTTCTTTTAAAGAAAATTAAAAAATATTTTTTCAAAACACTATTTCATCCTTTAATATTTTTTTCTTCCCCTATCCCGTACCCTACCCTCCCCATCAAAAAAAAGAAATTAATATTTTAAATTTCCTATTTTTTTACATGTCATATATTTTTTTTTACCTCTACCCAAGACTAGGCCTCCGCCCTCCAAACAAAAACATTAAAAATTTAAATATTACTTTTGAAAAATATTTTAAATTTTAAGATTTTTTAACCTTACCCAATTTGTAACACCCCCCCCCCCCTCACACACACAAAAAAAACTGTTTTGGAAAAATATCTTAAAATTTTATTTTTTTTACACCCTACCCCATCAATTTTTTAAAAAATGTGTATTTTTGAAAATTATTTCAAAATTAAACAAATTTCATTTTTTACGCCACCTCCTCCACCCACCACCACCCCACAGGTCACCCCCCTCCTCTCCCCAATTAAAAATATTTCAAATTCACCTCCTGTCACGATCTAAAACGAGTCATGAGTGTCACTCACACTTAATCTCCTAGGTGGGCGAACCAACGAATTCAAGTTCAACTTATATTAATTATTCAACTTACGAAATGCAACCATAATGAGAAGCTCAAATCTTATTAATGTAAAAAACAAACCTGAAAGTCATCACATCAAGGACATCTAATTCCAAATACTAAGTCTAAGAGTACAAAGACACCTAAATAAATAAACAAAGTGGTTTGTGTCTGAAAACTAAGGATGTCATGCCATGATCGAAAGAATCTAACACGAGCTAAAATATATAGATCACTCTGGAAAATGTTGTGCTGGAGATTGGCTAGTGCTGAGGGCCGGTTGAAGTCTCTAGTAGGAAGAACGAGTAGAGCGTGAGTACAAGAAATATGTACGGAGTAATATCATCGTCCGACCTAAAACAAAAATCAATATGCATAAATTAATAATATGAAATCAACTATAACATTTAGCAAGTGGAAACCAACAAAAACAAATGACAACAACACCTGAAGCAAGTACGTAATCAATCCACAATTCAAGAACACACATAACGAGTCAAACACCACGCTCTTCTGGGAAATGAGTTTTTTGAGATTGGGTACATGAAGTTGTTTTTACATATTTTTTTAAATGTTACCGTGTTGGAATGTTACACCCCATCCAATAATATTGTGCTGATTCGTGACACCCGATCCAAATAATATTGTGCTGAAACATGACACTCGATCTAATAATACCGTGTCAGAATGTGACACACGATCCAATAATAATATGTCAGCTTGTGGCACCTGATCTAAACAATATCGTACTAGAACGTGACACTGATCCAATAATAATGTATTGGAACATACACCCGATTCAATAATACCGTGATGGCTCTTGGCATCCGATCCAAATAATATTGTGCCTTTACATGATATCTGATCCAACAATACTGTGTAAGAATGTGACATCTGATCCAACAAAATCATGTCGACTCATGGAACTTAATCTAATCATATAGTTAAGTCATCATTATTTATCATCACTTTAAACTTCATAAACAATATATCATCAAGCCTTATTTATTTGACTACTTTCACCGAATGAGTTCAAGATTATGGATTTCGTGGTCTTGGGATTACAAATCAATCACAACAACACATAACTCATCAAAACCACCACAATTGAGTACATAAAAGCTTCACAATATTACTCGATGACGATAACTATTAAGAGTCTCTCTATCCCATAGAATAAATCATAACTTACTTTAACCAAAGAACTGAAGTCAAGCAAGCTAATCCATAATGTTTTACCTTTCATCAATGCCTTGGAACATTTCCAATCTATCGCATATACAATATTCATAAGCAAACGAGTCTATAAACACTCATATTACTATATTTCTTGCCCAACAGACCCAATAACTCATCCCAAACTATAATCAAATTCCTAAATTTTGGTATATACCAACTAATATATCAAGTCTCATATGTTCCTAGTTTTTCAAACCTAGAGTTAAGTCTCAATTCCTCTAATTATCATCATTTTAATAGAATTCATATGATACGATACACCTAATATTTAATTACATATATTAATGTACCAAAACTTTTGATATGATTTTTGTTCTACCGAATTTCACCCACGAATAATAAACATATACCAAACTATCCTACATATACTACAATATTGAAACTTGTATGTAAATTTTGAAGTCCTTTTGATATCGTCCTCTCACAACTAATATCATGCCTGATTATCTTATAATCCTATTAATCATTACCTAATTATTAATTATAAAATTTTTTGCCAAAGTACTAAGAATACAAGTGCAACAACATTAATAATTGAAAGAAACAAAACTTCTAAAGACTATGTAATACTCTCAATCTCACCCGTAACCATGCAACATTATATCTCTAACCCAATAGGAAATTGAAGAACTGTAGCTTTATCTAGATGGTGGTCACTCCAGATTGACGCCACATGTAACACCTCAGGAACCCAACAGACTGTACAACAGGAAATTGGATGAACTATGGAGGGGTTCACGAACCATAAAAGGAACCATGGTCCGTCAACCTGCTCGTGGTTCATACCTATCCAGCATGGTGGACCGCGGACACCATCACAGGTCGTGGATCCCCACACAATCCTTAAAATGTCTCGTAGAAGTAAGACAGAGCCATCAGGTCTTAAGTTTTGAACTACAGAGCCCCCACCGGACCGTGGATGGGATTGTTGTCCTAATCTAGTAGACCCTAAGACACAATGAGGAATCACATTAGCCTTCACAACCCGTGGTCCATCACACAGTTCGTGAAGTGGACCGTAGACAAGGCCTACCAAACTTGAAGGCGGGATAGGTCCACGACCATGACCAAGTTGATGGGTCATGGTCCTAGTGACGTTACATTAGCCCACTCGTGGTCGGCCCTAGCCAGTTTTAAGTCAAGGGTGTTTTGGTTTTATCCCTATGCGTTGGGCAAATAAAATACATCGATTAGTACCTAAACTACGATGTTTTTCTTAGTCTAAAGACTAATATACTAGTCAGACATGCCCAGAACCCTCATTTTCTAAAAAAGAATCACCCAACTTAGAGAAAAAATAAGAGGAGAAGTCGACCAAACCTCCCAAGAACAAGCAACAATGTTCTTCAAAGTTCAGCCTCAAAATTAAAAGGATTTATCCCGTAGATTTCTTCAGCAGGTATGTAGGATTGTACTAGTGGTTTCCTTCCAGTTTTAGGTCCCTAAAATTCAGCCAGATTCTTGATTCGCCATATCTTGTGAAGACCTAGTGTTTCTAAAATCTTGAAATTTGTTGTGCTTTCAATTGCTATAGAATTCAAAGTCTAAATATCATGTTTTCTTGGAAACATTACATAAGTCTTTGTATAAAACTCAGAACCCTAGTTTTGTAAATTCTCTTAGTTCATCAATTATATTTGCTAGGTTAGTTAAACAGAAAATCATGCTCCCAATTTCGAATGTCACATTCTCAGTATATAAATGTTGCATTCTCAGTTAGCATGTCAGTATTTTTAGTTATTTAGTATTTAGTCCATTTTAGCTTCATATGTATTTAGTTGGGAGTAGACTTAACATTGAGTTAGAGTTGAGTTCAACGTACCATTATAGTCTCAGAACTACGTGTATGTGTAGGATTATAAGTCCCTTCTATTGGGAAACAATATCAGTGATCACGTCAGTCATGCCTATATTGGGTCCTCTCGATGGGGCGTATACATCTGTTAATTGATGGTTTCCTATGAGTTTTTCCTTGCCACATGTCATTGCCCAATTTTATGAAAACCTTTAATTATTAGGGTGTATTGTGAAGATGATGATCAAGTAGATTGACTACATTATTGTTAATTATGTAATTGTTTATTGAATTCACCTTGTTTATGTAATTGGTTATGTATTATTGGTAATGGAAGTATGAAGATTCTTGAAGAGGGCAAGAAGGTATGTTGATTGGTTTTTCTTAGATTTAATTTTGATTGAGTTACTTAGAAAATAATGCTTCTAAGTCTAATGTGTGGTTGTGATGTTGATGCTAGGTATTCCTTATCCTTAACACTAAGACATTGAATTAGACATGAATTATGTACAGATGTTATGATACGAATATTATATGATTGAAAGTAGTTTCTCATGATTATAATAAAGTGTTAAGTGAAAGGTTTATTCACTTGTGAAGTGGTGTCTAAATTGTTCTCACTTATGATGACCTATGAGCTAGCTAGTAAGATAAGATGTTTAAATAGGGGTCTAGAAGAGATTAATGTGAACTTGTATGATGAAATAAGATGAATACTAAAGGAATAATTGCTTAGCACCGAAAGGGCATGCAAATGAGATGGAGGTCTCATGTTTAATAAGTCCGGCCTTCCACATGGGTTTCCTCACATTAGCAAGTCCGAATTCCCAAAATATGTATTGTTTTATGAGCTGGAAACCTCAACGTCTAGCAAGTCAAGGTTTCTAGTAACAATTTCATTGACCTTTAACTATGTTCCCGCATAGGACTCTAGCTTAGTGGATCTACCTAGATAACTATGTATGAATGGTTACACCTTAGGCAAGTGTTAACCCTTTCTTTTCGGTGTGGGAGTAGAACACCAGATTCTATGTAGCTCACATGGTCTCATGTCGGTTATTGCATTTCCTTCCCTAATATAAAAGAAAATGTACAAGTTAAGTATGTGTACTCTTATTAGGTTTGTCTTAATGGCTACTACATGGTGTGAGGGAAGGTATGAGACTTCTCTTGCATA